GAATTTCATCGACAGATTTCAAATTTCGTCTAAAAATATGTAACCGTTCAAGAGTTATAATGTTTTGAAATTTCGAAAAAATTGTTTCCACATGTGGCAAAAATTCAAAAAGTTATAACTCTTGAACAGTTACATATTTTTAGACGAAATTTGAAATCTGTCGATGAAATTCGGTATAGCTTCCTATGAAATTCTAAAAATCAAGGTACTACTAACAGCAAAAAATCCTAGGAGGGGGGGATCAGGAAAATACTCATTTTTTTCGCAAACTCCGAGTGCAAATTTTTTTTTATAAAATTCCATCATTTGGACCCAACATCACCCTCCATGAGTTTCATCTGGGTCCCACACTCGGAAGTTGAGATTCAGCATACTGAAAAATCCTGGATACGTCACTGATAAGAGCTTTCAACATCTTCGTACGGTAATATGAATATGAATTGATTCTACTCTAATTTATCAAAGAACTCATTTAACAAAAACAATCAATTTACTTTTCAACTTTCGAATCTCAAAAACACTCCGATTTTATTTTTATGTGCATATGAGTTGTAAGCTTAAATGGAGGAAATACGTAAAGTCAGTAACAGCAATACTCAGCTTCGATATTTATACTTTACTGTGTATAAGTTAATATATGTGAGATCGTACCTATGGTCAGGAGGATAAATGTTGACTTAAAGAATGATAAACAGTATATTTGAGACCAACTATTTAGAAGATAATTATTCAAGTCTAAAGATTGATGAAGTTTTTCAGTTAGATATTCATTGAATTGAAGTGTTGTCTATATTGTTAAGCCTTTTATTTGGCAGTTCGCCGATACTTCTGTGCATTGACGTATACGAACGAAAGTATTTTAATTCTTGATATCACTAAATCGATACTTAATTTCAGTGCAAACTTGAACCAAGAATGTAGATATCTATGTTTGACTCACGATCACATCCTCTAATATAGGATTGAAGAAAGTCTAATTCTGAAGAACTGTGTTCGCGGCAAAGACTTTCGTTTTTTTTATTGACAGAAAATCTATGGACTTTAACGAATTCGATGAAAATAACAGTAATCAGGGAGATAGGGTGTGTATAGGTAGTAAGACTCACATTCAGACCGTGACAAAGAAACTAGTTGCAAAGCAATGGAGTAAAAGAATTTCCATTTAATTAGTAACAATAGGTCTATCATATTTCACAATTTTAATCTTGCAAGGGATAGGGCTAACATCTTTTCTTACAACTATGAACACAATATCTTTAAAATTTGAAACTAATCTTTCAAGGGAGACAGTGAATTTTATATTCTTGACATTGCACCTCTAAAACTCATAGAGCACAGAGCATCATCACTGTATCATATAGTCGATTGTACAGCATCTTCTATGTCATCTTCTATTTAGTTAATAACTGGATTATTAAATATGTTCAAATCAAGCAGATGACAGTACAGTCTTTTTGCTTTCCAAAACTGAATAGGATGTCTCTTTATAAATCTTTCTTTTTTTACCATCGATTTCTTCTAAAGAACGAGAGTTGGAAAGTGAATGAGAAATAATGTCAAAGACTCTCATTTGATGAAACTGAGGTTTCCTAAGCCGTCAAAATAAAGACACATCATCAGATGAAAAGCAGTAACTTTTCTTTTTCTTTAAAGCAATAAACATAAATATGAGAAGAACAATCTCTATAATCTTTTTATTTTCTAACATCAGACAAGTTATTTCCTAAGATACGTATAGAAAAAAATAGTACAGGAAAGCTCTTCTGTCATGAAAGATCAACAAATAATGTCGAGTACAACTGACCTTTTGCATTTCCTTAAAAAATATGTCTGTTTTATTAGATGAACCAATTACTGAACTCATCTGAGCTAACTGTGTGGTAGTTCTAATAATATTAATAGAACAAGAACAGAAATTATTGACTTTGATAACTGAAAATCACTCAGAGATAGTTGAAGAAGACATATGCAATTTTTTTTTATTATGAATTTTGATAGTGTGGGTATGACTGAGTGAATGTGGATCTTCTCTCGTTCTACATTCAAGCTCACACCTATAACTTCAGTGATTTAAAAATTAAGATAATAATATTGATCGCCGACAAAATGTCTGTGAAGAAGTACTAATGCTCTAAAATACCAGTTCCACCTTGTCTTTATTTGTTTAATAATAAAGATGCAACAAATCAATAATAAAATTGGGCACTTAGCATCAAGAGCATTGAAATTCTATTTAGGTTTTAATTCAGATCTCATGGAACTCAAATCTCATAGATTTAGTAAGATAGATTGTCAAAAACAAAATTCTACTTCATTATAGGAGAGTGGGAAAATTAGAAAATAAAGTTTGAGATTTAATAACAAGATAAGAGAGAACATAATGTATATCATAAGTAAAATAATAAGAATAGACAAAGATCAGCACCGACGAAATATCTATGGACACATTGTATTATTGACGAATAATGATATGCAATTCAACATCAACAATTTCTTTTATATATCAGCAAAATAATTTTTACAATGTTAAATTTCAAGAGAAAGTTATTACTACATGGAATATATGAACTGAAAAATCTTTTAGTCTCTAATGTTCGAAAATAAGACAACAAAACTTATTACTAATATAATATATAGAATAGACGAAACGTATAAAAAATCGAATTATTTTTACTTTTTTTCTTTATAGATCGATAGTTAAATGTGACATACACCATTTGATGAAACTCAGAAAAGCATCGTATCATGAATCTTCAAAAATGTACAAATCAATATAATTAGAATTGTTCTGTGTATTCTGATACAAGTACCTTTCTGGATAATTCATACGACAGAAGGCTATTTATAGACTGTCTCTCTGAGTATTGTCGTTTAGTTTAGGTACGATGTTTAAATGTTATTGAATAATAGACATGCTCATAGTTTCATAACGAATGTTCTTTGAGTGGCGAGATATTCTCATTACAGACCAAATTAGATCAGGAGATTTGTTCCTGCTTGTATTCAGCTGCAAATAAAAGTGTTTTACATTGATTGAAGACAGAAATAGATCACTTTCAAAAGGCAATAGAATGTTTCTTCATCAATCATTAAGGGTATGGATGTGAGTATTCGTTTGTTATCATATACAACTCATATGTAAGAATTCAATTTGACATGGTTAATCTCAATAACAAAAAAAAAGAAAACCTTTAGATATATGTTCTACAAGATGTTTATTATTCTATAATATATTCGTTGTTGCCGACAATGATACTATATTCTAGCTTCAACAGGAAAAATTTAGAAAAGAAAATGAATTTTTTTAAAATAATATATTTATTCGAGATCATCTGAGTCACTTAAAAAAAATCAAGAAAATTCTCTAGTTTTCGTCTTATTGACATTATTTTTATAAAATAAATTTGATCAGTTTTGAATGATTTAGTTCCTATGATTTCGATTAACTTGTTAAACAAAAATTTTACATTTAAAACATTCAATTTTAATTGAAGTTGTATGCCACAATGATTTCTTCGAAAAAGTAACTTCTTCATTTTCATTCAACTTGAGATGGAAATAAACATGAACAATCGTCAAAGAAAAACATCGTCAAGTGATGATAAATTGATTATCGACGAAAATGATCATCTTATCAATTATTGAACTATTCGGTCACAGTTCATATTTAAAACATATGTAAGGAGTGATTTTTTTTCTTATAAAATCATTCTATCCAATCGATCAATACAGTGAGTAAGAATTCTAATACAATTTTCGTCTTTTTCAGATGGTGCAATATATATATTTATTACAATGATGATAAAATTGTTTATATATGAAATTTTTACATTCATATGATACTACATATTATTATTTATAATGTTAATTATTTGAGTTGAATTATATATTTCAAAAAAAAAATAGGGTATGTTACTTCTTTTTTTTCTCTTAAACAGGGTAGTAAAGTAGTAAAATTAGTTTTTTTTTCTTATTGGGATACAAAATCTATATATAAATTGAAAAGTCCTAGTGGTCAATAGGACTTTTCAACTTATTTGATTTCTTTTTTCAAATTTATGTGATTGTACAGAGAGACAGAAACACATACCATGTTATATAGCAGCCTCTTAGGTGGCTTCGTAACCTAACTCAGGGAGATTTCTTGTACCTGCTATGGTGAAAGCAGTGTTGTACTCGGGAAAGCTGTCTGTTCGTAGGTCTCTGTTGGCGTATTTGTACGATATACCTACAATCATGCCCTACCAGTCCGGCGTGGTCCACTCTGCGTGTACCCATTCCGGGTCTACAGGGAGCCTTCCTGATCGCGCGCGCGCGTACACACGAGTGAGCTGAGAAAAGCCGAGAAGAAAAAGTGAATAGGAATTTATTGAGCAATCATTAAAAAAACCAAACATTTACATTTTATTTTTCACATAGTCAGTGTTACCTTTCGTTGTTTTAATGGAAGGATGTGCTGGTGGAAGTGATTTTTGCTGGATAGCAAGTGCTTTTTCTAGAAATGAAAGTGCTCTCAGATACTCACCCATGTTGTCATACACTAGACCGATATTATTGTAGGAAGTAGCCAATGAGGGATGATTTGGAGGCAGCGTTTCTTCGTAAATTTTAAATGATTTTTCGTAAAATTCAAGTGCTTTCGAGTAGTCACCCATGTTGACATACACAGTACCGATATTGCTGTAGGAAGTAGCCAATGAGGGATGATTTGGAGGCAGAGCTTTTTCTTTTATTTTTAGCGTTTTTTCGTAAAATTCAAGTGCTTTCGAGTAGTCACCCATGTTGACATACACACCACCGATATTACTGTAGGAAGTAGCCAAATCGGGATGATTCGAAGGCAGAGCTTTTTTTGTGATTTCTAGATCTTTTTCGTAAAATTCAAGTGCTTTCGAGTAGTCACCGATGTTGACATACACACTACCAATATTACTGTAGGAAGAAGCCAAATCGGGACAATTTGGAGGCAGAGCTATCTCTTTTATTTTAAGTGATTTTTCCTAAAATTCAAGTGCTTTCGTGTAGGCACCCATGTTGTCATACACACTACCCATATTATTGTAGGAAGTAGCTAATGAGGGATGATTTGGAGGCAGAGCTATTTCCATTACTTTAAGTGATTTTTCATAAAATTCAAGTGCTTTCGTGTAGTCACCCATGTTGTCATACACACTACCCATATTATTGTAGGAAGTAGTCAAATCGAGATGACTCAAAGGCAGAGCTTTTTTTTGTATTTTTAGTGTTTTTTCGTAAAATGCAAGTGCTTGCGAGTAGTCACCGATGCTTGTATACACATTACCGATATTGCTGTATGTAGAAGCCAAGGAGGAATCATCTTCGGGAAGAGTTTTTCGCTTGATATTAAGGGATTTCTTGCAGAATGTAACTGCTTCGTCGTATTGTCCTTGGCAGTTTTTTAACCATCCGAGTTGATGATAGATATGTGCTCTGCCACTGTCGTCAGACGTTTGTTCAAGTAGGGTAAGATATAACTCTTCAGCCTTGTCCAGTTGACTGATTTCAAGTAACAGTTGGCCCATTCGATGCCAACCTGTACCGCTAACGTTTTTACGTATGAAATCTGATAAATCACGAAGTTGTGGGTCATTACCTGATGTAAGTTTGATGTCTACTTCATAAATGCAATTATTTTTGATGTTTTTTCGAATTTCACCAATTCGAAAAACCGTATGCATGGAGAAAAGAATTTCCTCTTCACCCTTGAAATGGCTTACCTCCTTGATATTGGCAAACGGAGCCGTTGAAATATTAGTATCAACAGTTATTTGAAAAAGAGTGCCGATCATATCGGGTGTTCGTAAAGCTTCTTTGACGAAATTGAGTGACACATCACGTTTAGTACTGGTGGATAAGAAGTTATTAAAAGAGATAAGCCCACCTTTATTATTGGCAATCTTTTCAAAATCAGTTTTCGATAGACCTTGTCCTCGAAAGACTGTAAAAATCTTTTCACTATAGTGACTGATCTGGTTCTTGTACATAGTTTCGATTTGCCGATGTAAATCACATAAGAAGAATCCCATTCGAATCATAATGTCACCATTGAGTGTTCTTAGTGCACCATTCAACATTTTATATGTAAAGCATTGTCTTGTATACCACCATATCGCATTGGATGCTTGATAAGTACGTTGAAATTCTTTAATAATTTTCATTTGGTTGTGATTGCCTTGATATACCTGTTGGCAATACGTCACCAAATCTTGAACGGCTTTTTGATCATGCTCTATTTCAAGAAGTATTTCCTTGAATATCTGTGAATACATAAAAGAAGGCTCTAGCTGATCCAAATTTTTGCTGGAACCTCCTTCACTCAGGCTGACAATGCTCACCGGTATATTGTCTTCGTTGCACTGTTTGATAGCTGCTGCAAGCTCCTCATATATAGGTGTGATTCTTGTATGTACACCTTTGATTTTTGGCCAATGTTGAGTCCAAAATTGATGTTGTTGTTCATGGCCAGAATAGATAAAAATGCCCTTCAATGTTTCCATGTCGTGGATATCTGGTACCAAGTGTTGTCCTATTGCACTAGAGGCGATAATGAAAGATATCTCCTCCTCATTGTCAACCATGTGTTGAATACATTGTTCAGCTGTTGTACACGGTTGCACTTCATTTATAAGAGCTTTCAATTGTGCCATTGTATATTGACAATCTTCATTTGCCATGTCGATATTTCCATCAATCCAGATGACTAAGTAATTTTCAGCTATGCGCTGTCGTGGATTTTGAATAATTTTTGATGCCATTTTAGTTCCTTGGTTTGTAATCGTGTTTTGTGAAGACTAAATTTTTATTTTTGAGAGATGGTACCTTTTCTTTTTATATGTTCGATGTCGACTGTTTGTTTTTTCTTTGTTGACACACAAGGACAAACTGCGTGATTTCACTTGAAAATATGGCTGCCGAAAAGAAATGAAAGGAATAAAATCCAAAAATATTCTTAACTGCATTATTATTGTTTTCAACTTGCGTTTGCTTCTCATCTATGCAATCACTTGAGGTCTTTTTCTCCTTCGGGCAAGATCAAAAAATAAGCAACATACAAATTGCCAGTTCGACGGTTTTTATTATAATTACAATGGACAATAAAATTTACCTTCATTGAAGCAACCACAGATCAACGACTTTTTTCTCGTAAAATGCAGCCCATATTTCTTATGCCTCATACTTACTGATGCAAAGACAAGTTCCCTAATTTAAATTCAGAAATCATGGGACACTGATACACTTAAAGAATGGTTTAAAAATTTTGGGTATTCATACAAACTTTTCTTTTTTTCCCCATAGTTGAGAGCTAAGCAAACACTCAACCCAGAGATGATGTTTACAATAATTATTTTCCACTCCAAATATAATCACAAACTATAACATATTTCATATTAATTTAGTTTATTGACTAGCCATGGTAATCATCTTTCTATTGAACGAATTGTTTTTGAATATATTTACAATGTCTATTGTATCGAAATCATTTTTTTTTGAAATATTTCTTAGTTCAATGGCAGACATCCACTACATAGGATACAATAAAAACATTTTCGACAAGTAAAAGTTTGATTAGAAACAGATTGAAAAGAATATAGTGTCAAAAGAAAAATAGCGAAAGAGGAAAAGATTAGTAAAATTCTATTGAAATTGGATTGTGGATAAATTTAAATAAGTTTATTATAGATACCTAATTCATTTTGAGGCATAATTCAATTTGACATAATTCTCTCAATATTTCTCATTTCCATATTATCTTTCTAACTTTATCTTTTCGTGTTAGTTCGTTCACTCATTATTATCAACTCAAAAATTAATGAAATACTTGACGAAAGAGAAATTTGTATGTTACTATCACATTTGACCTAAAGAGATCATTTTTATTTGAAATATATAAATCAATAGATCTCTACGAGTCTATAGTTCACTAAAAGTTTTGTTTGACTTCAATAGAAAACAAAACAAGTACACAGAATCATGCAGAGTTTTATATTTTATTTTTGTATTCTATTGAAAATGATATCTAACAATGTATACAACAAACTTATAATAGAGCATATCACATGGGTTTTGCATAATCACAGAAGTTTTTTCTGCAAATAGAAAAGAATGAGGTAAAGAAACAAAAACACAAATAGTTTTTATTATTGTCGTCAGCAAGGTTCTCTTTTTCCAACCAAGTTGTAGTATTTAAATCAATAACAATACATTGAATTAACTCAATTCTGTTCAAAATATTACGTTCATTATATCCCTTAATTGTCGTCAATTTACAAGCATCTAATATTGAAAAGATCTATAGACTAAATATAACAAAAGATCATATTTACATTGTAAAAAACAAATGAATGTTGCAAAGATAGTTCTCTTGAGCGTTCACTTTTTTTCTGGTATAATAAAAATATTTACAAATTTTTTATTATTTAAAAAGAGAAATTTCTGCAGTTTCTTTGAATAAAATATCTTAACATCGAAGAAATGAAAAAAAAATGTATAGATAAGTAGATAAAATAACAAATCAGCTATTAATAGAATGCACTATTAGGTTTAAATAGCCGCCGCATAGGATTATTTTTAAATGAGACGATAGTTGTCTTCTGCGAAGAGAGCCTTCATATAACATAAGAACTTTTAAAGCTTTGGAAATAACCTCGAAGAAACATTTCCCCAAGAAAATTACTTATGCCGTACAATCAGTGCACGAAATAGACAGACATTGAATAAGTGTAAAAGGTAGACTTGCTCAATATAGATGCCGTTTTGCATCTTTAGGTAAATTGGCATTTTGATGACTGCCAGTTGATGAAATATTATAACAACTCAAAATTTATGTTTTTATCTTTGAAATAGCATACATGGTTTTATGTTCAAAATTTGAGTGTGAGTGAAGAAATGCTGCAACAGCAAATCTCATAGTGTGTAGTTACTATCTTACACTCTCTTTTTGCCTTTTTCGACGACGTTAAATGTTGTTTTTGTTATCGTTGACACTTAAGCAAAAATTTCATCTCGTTCCAATCGGAAATATGGTTGTCAATAATAAATGAAAGAGAAAATAAACAACAACGGCATGTGTATTCTATTATTTTTCATTTCTACCATGACTGGAGTGTTTTGGCATTGAATACCTTATCGCATGCGTTGTTTGTCTTTCTTGGATTCGAGCGAAAATGAAAAAACGAAGCCATTGTTCTTTCAATTTCTTTTTTTTGTGATTATCATAAACATTCTAAAGATATGAATAAAACAACTAGAAAAATGAAATCTAGAGAAAAGCTTGTTCATTTTGTAATTAATCTTCAACAATATACGTTATACTGCGTAATTGTTCGAATAATTACGAGTTTTTCTGATTAGAGTTCGAATATAATTGAAGATTGAACTACGTATTATGAAGTCCAAGAATGAATGAATGTTTTTTTATCTAATCATTACAGTTATGAACTTTAGCTCTTTCATGGACTATCACACAGTTCTGATTCTAATTCCAAATTAATATTGAAAATAACATTAGCCTTTGATTTCTTTGTTATTTTGATAGAATGACGATGATCTAAGTAAAAATTATACGTGAAAAGAAAAAGTTATTACTTATTTTTAGATACTATTACCCTACATGGCTATGATAGTTTCATGTGCATTGAAATTCCTACGAGACAAGTACAGCGATACTCATGTTTTTTTTTTAGTAAGATCAATGTCATCGTAGATTTTTATGAATACGATTAACAAAATGAATATAACATTACCCATGATTTTGCCAAAGTGATTTTTATTTATTTAGCACTCTTTTTTTCACTGATTCCTATGAGTCATAAATAATATTCAATGAATGCGTTGATCAGTGAAAGTGTGTTTATAATTAGTGCACTATGATGCTAAATATATTAAAAAACATCTGTTTTACATAGATGTCGAACAGCTGCATCTATATTAGTATAGAGCTAACAAAATATGAAAATTGGAGCGAGTATTTTTAAACAAAAAATCGACAGGTATATTGATGACATGTTTCTGTGGAGTTTCTTCTGAATATGCAACTAAGACAAAAAAGTACAATAGTAACAAATAAACCAAGGAAACAAAAAGTCACTGCGATTATTATTATTGTTGACGCTTTTTCTTCTTCCATTCTTGTTTGTACAGAAAGTATCAATGTGAAGATTGAATATGTAAACAGAGAACTGCTAAAAATGAGCTAATATGGTATTTTAGGCAATTTTTCTTTCATTCTGTATGTTGTAATTTCTTTTGGAGTTTTTTTCCAGTGTTGAGAAGTTATTAATAAAAGCAACACTGATTGCATTAGATATTCTATTTAAATAGGAATTTTATATGATAGATAAAGTTCGAAATTCTTACAAATTCAAACCAAAAACCGGTTGACATTCGTCTTTCTCTTGGAAAATCTTTGAAATTAAAATCATCTATTATTATTTTTGGTCATGGAACACAATAATTAATAATGATTATTTTGCATCAAAATTTTTACATGTTTTGATCTAGACTCAGAAATAACTATAGAAGGTAATGGTATAATCATCCTGCATTCATTATACTTAATAATCACAAAGGATATTAGTTGTTCCAATCGCAATAATAATGTTTACTAATTAAAATATTGATTGACAAGAATATGAAATCTAAACATAAAACAATGCACAAGATAAATGAAAACTTGTTCATCTCTACATAAAAACTCAGTCAATTCAGTATAAGTCAAAATTTAACTTCGAAGCAAAAAAAAAATTAATAGAAAAAAGTGAATGATCAAACAACATCATCATCTCGATGGACTTTTGCTTGTCAATTAGATTAGATAGGCATAATCAATAGCAATAGATTTTTGGAAATATTAGTGAATAATATAGAAGAGATATGAAAAAATCGTGAATATTTTATTTGGAAGTTGCTTCTTTTTTTTTCGTTTCAATTCTAACATTTTAATGTCAGAATTAAGATCAGATTATAAATGTCATTGTAGATAAAGAGAAAACATCCATCTATTCAGTTGATAACACTACTGCAAAGACAAACAACAAATATTCTTTTTCTAAAGTGTGTTCAACTAATTATGCTTTGACAGAATAAAAAAATAATAATCAATCTTTAATAATTAAAGACATGGTTTCATTCTTATTAAGATGGTTACTCTTGTTAAATATCGGAACTGCTACTTTTTTTGTGAAAACAATAAACATATTATGTCACACATAATTACTTACAAGAATCATGATTGTTTATAATGCTACTGGAATCAACTAGTCAAGTCGAGTATTAGAATCTAATTCTTTAATTCTATTTTTGTTATGAGGATTCTGAAAAATATCTTATACATAACTCATTTTCAAAAGAAAAATTCTTTTAAGAAAAAATGTTTTTGGATATTATAGTAAATGTCTTTGCATTAAAATGTTTTATCTATGTATTGAATCTTTATATTTTGTCTTATTATCGATACTATATTAGAATAAATTTTAAAATACAAATCAAATGTTGATAATATTTAAAAATTCTTCTTATTTGTCATTAAACTGTTGCGTCCATCAATCTTTTTTAGCAATGTCAAATCGAATTCGGTCATTCTCCCTCATGTTTCCATTATGTTACTGATGTGAATGCCAATGTCAGTTATCTGATGTATTGTGTTCAATGAACATAAATATATTAATTTCATTTACAGAAAAGAATATTCTTGCTAGAGACTATTAGGTTTAACACGTCTATTATATGCGAGATGTGCGTGAGTGTTGAATGAATATTTTCAAAGTAAATTAGACTTATTTCATCCTTTATGTCAATTTATAACTTATATTTCTATACTTTTTTTCGATATGTATTAATGAAGAAAAAATTTTCATTTCAAAAAAATCAAAAAAACATATATGATAATAATTGCTACTGCAGACACAACATGTTAAATGTTAATATGTAACATCATTTCTTTATTGCTTTACGGAATTTTTCTCATATAGATATCAAAACTATAAAGCGCTTTAATGAACATTTTATCTTACATGGCTTTTCAAAACGATCATCAACAATATTTGGTTTTATTTTATAAATTACATAATTACAATTATAAATTCGATGACAAATGTTATCCATATTTTGACGTATAAAATGATGAAGAGTTAATATATATTGAGTGAGAAACATTTTTTGAATTAGAAAAAAATAGATCTTTAATAATATACCATAGGTACATATCATCATTGACGACTCGTATTCTTCGCATCATTTTCATATAGTTCACTTTCATACAATTTTACATCATTTCCTTTCAAGTAGCTGAGAAAATTTCCTATTTTACATATTGGAATATGAAATATACATAATGGTTTAGAACAAGTTGTAAGTGATTGATTTAAAAATGATGTACAGTTATCAGACACATGATCATAATTAGCTTGTTGACAACTGTAAAAAAGAATATGTTATAATTATTAAAACCTAGTATATGAAGAAATAATGAGACATAAAGTTGTTAGATAGAGACATTCAAATTCAACATTTTACGTTGAAAAATTTAATTTTATTCGCAAACTCTAATTTTAAATCAATTAACATCGGAGTCATAATTGATGTCTAGAAATTTCACAAGTTTCTACTATTCATCTATTGATAGTTTTAGTCATAAAACTATCTTTTTTTAATTTATACTATTTCTATTTTTTGTGAGTTGTCTCACAAATTATATTCTCATTCCAGGTACATTGTCTCCAAAAATTAAAGAATTCAACAGTTCTTATGCATAAGGCGTTGCTATACTTTTGACTATTACAACTTTCTACTATCAATCTCGTTTGTTTATAATTCTATTATCTACATGAATCCCGATAAAAATCTTCAGAAATCCCATTCCAGATTTATAAGACACCTCATTAAAACAATTAGGATGGAGTAAGATCATCTATATATATATTGACTTATTTTCAAATACAACTATATAGAAATTCTAAATCAATTATGAATACATTAAATTCGAATTCAAAATTAATATAATGAAGATCTAGCATTTATTCGTCTCTTCGAATATTTCATAAATCATTATTCACAAATCTTAAAAGATTCTCGAGCTATATAGACGATCAATCAACAATTTAATTCAATGTAGACACTCATTCAAGTCTAATATTTTTACATGTATTTCAAGAGTAAGAAAAAAAAACATTATCTTGTGTTTCTATTACATTTCAATTTTATTGAGATTTTCAAAATTAGCTTACGATATGAGGCAACAATATCATGACTTTCAATTATTTTATATGTTTTTGAAGATCTCAATTAGATTTAGTCATAATAAAAGATATATTACGTTTATATTCAACATATTTTCTGTGAATTATCTGAATTTTTTATTGATTTATTCACAATGAAATGTAATAAAACAAAAAGTCAGCTAATATACCATGATCGTGAAATACTAAATTCTATTCAACCATGATATATATATATATATATGTAAAAATTGAAAATGACAGGAAATCTTTTTGCCTACACGTTAAATTAGATGCAACAGGTTTTTAGAGAAATGATTAAAACTTCAACTATTACTATATTAGTTGCTGCTATTGCTATATCGTCATGTATTGTAAACGTTACGAATTGCTTTTTGGTATAATTAGAAGTTCAATTGAATACAAAACATCTTGTACCGCAACAACAGTCGAAATTTAGAATTAACACTTTCATCCACTGAGAAATCAGAGAATGACTTGACCACTAACAAAACTACTAAACTATCATTAAAATCTGCTGCATTATGGTAAAAATCTATTTAAAAATTTTTTTACAGTATTCCCTATTTAGCTTGGATTTGCCACTTCATGCGTCAAATTCATCAAGAAATAGTTGGAAGAAAGTTTAGAATAATGATTGACCTAGTCTATCGTACTTCATTATATAATTGTGCAGTATATATTTTTTAATTTACTCTCTGAAATCTACTCAAATACTATGCCAAATCATATTTCTCTAGAAGAGATTAAATAATATGCACTTATCAAATATAGGTTTCATAGTGTTTTAATTTTTAGCGTGAATATTGATGTCATTAAAAAATTTGTCATTTATCTATATAGATCATCTAATAAAAACTCTATCGCTTACACATCAAATATAATGATTTATTTTAGTTTTAAAACAATAGTTACAACTTTTAGAAACTTTACTAGATGAAAGCTTTCATTTTAGTGGAAACAATTGAAGATAATGTTCACATTCAAGTTCACATTTACACTTTGACATTCTTTGAGAAAAGTTTTTAGCAACATCATCAATTTTTCATATTACTATGATGGATAATCGTGACACTTAAGTCCTTAGAAACTAACAATATAAGTGATATTTTGAATCTTTGTTCATTTGGTATTAAAAATTATTTGTTCCTTTTTTCTATATCTTTCTTATATTTCTGTGTTTAAATTTAGATATTTTGATTTATTATTTATGCAGAGTACCAATAATTTAATCTTAATATAGATTAGAAAAGATATCGATTATAAAGTCTTATATTATTTTCCTTCCGATTTCGTACTGAAAACAAAAAAAAGAGATAGGTGCAGATCTTATGATTTGTAATTTTTTCAAGATATTAAATTTAATTGTGTGAATATGTTTCGTAATGAAGTTCAGGAGAGATATTTATTGGAACATAGAAAAGAATGTGTATAGAATTTCTAGTAAGACTTGACATCTTCATTTATGTAATTTATCTAAATTACAAGATAATAGTTTAAAAATAAATTCTTTGATTACGTAACCGCATACAAATGATAGTTTCCTATTAACTATTGAATTCAGTATTTGACTAACAATTGATCTATATATAACACGTATGGAGAATGTCATAATAATCTTGTAAAAAAATGCGGTAATCAACTATCGTATTCTAGAATAGAAAGTCATTGAAAAGTATCACTATTATCACAATTAATTTTTTTGTTGATAGAAACACAAAAAAAAAACCTATTCGAACATGATACTCATCGTTGTTGACTTATTATATCACTAAGAATAATAACCTTCAAAAGATTTGATATCCGTTTTTAGACTTGAATTCTATTCAATTGTCAATAATCTATAGAAGATATCAAATGATTTCTTGTTTTTTCATTGAATATTTTACTTATTCATAGTTTCTATAGAACATTTAAAATTGTTGCGAAGGTGAAGATAGCTTTTCTCTTGATATTATATATTTACAATTGATTCTTCATGATACAAATGAATTAATTAATGGTAATATTCTACAATTTGATTATCTATATTATCGTGTAACTAAAGAAAAATTAGCTAATCAAGAATTATCAAATGTAATTGACGAGTAAAATTCCATATAATTTTCGACCAATAAATATTAATGAAAGTTTATTTCGAAATCTTGTTCATAGACAAGATCAATATGTTACATTTAAAGAATTACGTATTTCAAATATTAGTATAGAAGAATTAATATCATGCTCAACTNCTCTAATTGATTTGATTGGAACATATCAATATTCATTTGAAAATAGTGAATATATGTCAATAATTGATATTGTTGAAAATGAATTTAATTTAAAATAATCCTTTAATTGAATCATCAAATATGTTAATAGAATTACCATGTTATATTCATATAAAATATAATCGTGATGAAAAAAAAAATCATGTCTTGATCGGCGTGCAGTATATCATGGACGTATTGATTATATTGATGAAGGTTTAGATGAAGCATGTTGTTTTGATATGGAAATAGATGAATGTAAAGATAATGAATATCGATGTCATAATGGTTTATGTACACCAGAAGAATTTTGGGAAAATGATTTTGGTGATGCTGATTGTCTTAATCGATCTGATGAATTTGCTAATGTTTTATATCCAAATAATTGTTATCGAGATTCAATATCTCGTTGTGAAGAACACTTATGTCGAACAAATTGGTTTGATTTTGTATGTGGAGATGAACAATGTGTACAAACGTTTGATAAATGTCATAATAGACATCATCTTTTATTAATACAATTAATATCAAATTAAGGTTATTTATTAAATAATTGTTTAATAAGAATGATATGTCAAACTCAACTAATTCATGGAATATTATGTGAAACATTATTTTTAAATAATTTTATTAATGGTTTTATTAAGAATTGTGATTCTATATTTCAATTTCCAATAAATCCAATATATATGAATCATATTCATCTTTTATATGGGTGGGTGTGGTCGTTGGTATTCCTAAGACGAATACTAACACCCACACTCTGTTTGATATCGTTTCGAATGTGACAAAATTTTGGTATTTTGTTCGTTGATCATAAGAGTATAGTGACTTAAAAAGAAATCAAGGTAGACATAAAACTGAAACTAGTAAATCTATGTCAGGATATATTATTTTTCGACTTTTCCGATTCTGCTTTATAAGTTTAAAATCATTTTGTTTTAATAGTTGAAAAGTAAAAATTTTCAATCTATTAGATAAATTTCAGTAAAGTTTTTGACTTCTTAATCAACTTGAAGTACCGTGAAGTAGATTGTGTTACAAATTTCTTGACGAGATTAATAGTATTTATGTAGGCTCTTCTACTGTTCCAATCCTTGCTATGCTACTAGCTTCAAGATATTCTTCATAGTCTAGAAGAATATTTCTCATTTATTTTTTTTTTGTTTCCACCTGAACATGTTCATTAATCAATCAATTTATATTTTCATTTCATCGTTATAATTATATATAAATACTTGTAAATATTTAAACAAAATAATTTATATTCATCAATTATTATCATTTATACCTAATATATATTATCTTTATGTATTTATAATAAAAAAAATAATATAAATTTGAAAATCTAAATCAAAAATAATATATTTATTTTAATAATTATTCTA